CAACACCATTTTAGTAGAAGTTCCAAATAACTTTTTTGCTAAGCTTAAGATAAAAGCCTACCCCAACACTTCCTTGAACTCCTCAAAGGGTGTGGTAAGAAGCCCAGATCTCTTACTCTGCACACTGGATGAGATAAAAAAACAACCTAAGGCAACAAGGCATCACAGATGCTCAAAGAATATTAAAAAACAACAACCAAATGACTCCAACAAACACTTATATTCTAAATTTCAACACTCCAAAACCTTCTACAGAAATAAAAATCGGATATATGATAGAAAAAGTGGAAGTATACATACTAAATCCTCTGAGATGCCACAACTGCCAAAAGTTCGGGCACCACAAGGAAAGATGTACCAGATCACCAACATGTAAAGATTGTGGAGAAATTGGGGATCACATTGACTGCAAATTCCCATTAAAATGTGCAAACTGCAAACAAAATCATGCAGCAGACTCAAAAGAATGTGAAGTCTGGAAGAAAGAAAAAAAAAATGTCCTCAATTAAATGCACAAAAAATATATCATACCTGGAGGCAAGAAGGATAGTTGAGAGTTCTCAGAATGCATCAACATATGAAAAATATAGCCAGTATGACAAACAACTTGATTCAAAAACAAGAAACAACACAAAACAATCTGTCTGATCTGGTAGAAGAACTAAGATCACTACTGGAGATACTAAAGAAAAATTTAATCGGTTCAACAACTAGATTCGATATTGAATGGGATCTAAAGAAAAACCCCAATACCAGATCGACAAAACCAAAGATGTCACAAACCAAAGAAAATTACAATCTAAGCAACAGCAGATGCCAATCCTCCCCATCACCACTAACAAATTAAATAACTCCTCCCCTCCAAAAATGAAATCTCCTTTGAAGAATAAACACAACAAAAAGAAAACAGAAATTGTCTTAATTGAAAATGAAAACAAATTCGAACTGATGGAAACTGATAGCCAAGAAAGACATTCAAGACAGAGAAGTTCAAAAAGTCCCAAGAAATACAAATCAAAAACAATCATCCCATCTCAAACAAGGGAACAGTCATCATCCAAACAAAAATCATCAAATGAATCAAAGGAGGAAAAAACCAAAAGAACATCCCTCAATAAACAAACAGAACCAAAAGTAATCCAAGGGTCAAACCATAACAAAAAACAAAATGCAAATAAGAGAGAAAGCCTAGAAAAGATGGACATCTAAGATGAAGATCCTCCCGAATAGCATGCCAAGAAACTTATACTGTAAAACACTTCCTACTCGATTGCAGTGACTTAACACATATTCAGCAATCTCTTTACGATGTTAACAACTTGAAAGAACTTTTTGAAAAAAACAAACCCCAATACAATCTTAACCTTTCTTAAAAAAAAGTTAAACTATACAAAAAAAATATAATACCAATTAAATATTTGACAATAAAAAAAGGAGACCATTTGACCCTTACCAGATGAAAAGTTTTGAAAACAACACAACTCTGAAAGCAATGGATATTTTTAAAAAAGCAAGACAACATTGAAAAAAAATTTTTTTTTGAAAGCAATCCAACTTTATCCAAAAAAAAACAATTGTTTGACCTTAAATGATCTCATAAAGATTGATAGGTCGTTAACCATTAAACAAACAAACTTTTGGAAAGGTATGAATCTATCTCTTCTCCCATCAGCTATGGGATGAATAGCAGGACGGACTGAGTCCTATAGCCTTGGTTGGCAACCAGTCTAACACAGTAACAAGCAGTAGCCTACTGTGGGGAAAACCTGCCTAATCAGTCATGAATTGTGAAAGACATGATTGTCCGGGACCTAACTGAATACTGACATTCCTATGGCAGAAATGAATATGTTTATTGCATAGAAATAATCTATCAGGTCATAAATGGCAGGAAAACTATTTTGGATGCTGTATCTGGTAAAGCCACTGATTCGTAAGTTGACAGCATCATGATAAATGTAACAAAAGTATCGATGGAGGAAGTGGTAGATCATTTTAAGGAACTTGAATTGATAGCAAAGTCACCAGAACCCTTAGAAGGAGGGGCAGTGCTGGGCATTTAAGGTGAAGAGAGGAAAAGCAAGTGAACTGATGTTTGGAAGGGGCAATGAGGTCCTATAGGTACCAGGAGAGATGAGTAGGTGGGAATTGTTCTCAGTCTGTGGAAAGCTGTTAGGGCATTACCTCATAGCCGAATGGATGCGACTGGTATGCAGCTATGTGAAAAGAAGAGCATGTGGGATAGACTGGGAATTTAAAGTCGATGACAAAACTGTCGCTGTGATACAGGAGATCTTAATTGAGGTAAAGAAAGAGGACCCCGTGACCAGGTCTTGGCACATGCTTAAAATGAAAAGAGGCGGGATATAGCCTGTCGAAGCAAATTTTTGCCACATAGTGCGGACAGAGAAAGAGACAATATCAAAAAAGTTCAATTTTCACCTACAAGTGGAGGCATCACAGAGATACATCCTCCAATACTGTTATATAAGAGTAAGTATTGTTGCCAACACTGTGGTTTAAAACTTGATTGCCAGTGAGTGATATGAACAATTCTATTACTAAGTAGATCACATGATCTCAAAGGAAGTGAATAAATAGGAAGTAGCATGATAATTGTTTACTCTTCTTGTCTATAGTATTTACATTAGTCGGACTATTGTCCTCATCTTTTAAGCCATATTTGTCTAACGTTTGACCATTGTATGCTCGGCCTTCTTCAGGTGGTTGGAATTTGAACTGAACCCTTTATTTTGATCACTGGGGTAGACTGTTCTAGTTCCACGTGCCATGTTTGATGGATGTCAGTTATCAGTTATCTTATCAGTCTACCCCAGTGATCGAAATAAAGGGTTCAGTTCGAAATTCCAACCACCTGAAAAAGGCCGGAGCATACAACGGCCGAAACGTTGTGACAAATATGGCGACAAAGATGAGGACAATAGTCCGACTAATGTAAATACTATATATAATACCTCATCTCAGAAATATAGACAGACTCTTCTTGTCTATACGTTCACTCTCTCTACTCCACTACTATATAGATTACAATTCTCTTCTGATCTTTATACTATTTGGCGATTACTACTTGAACAGGTATTACTATTGCGGATATTATTGGAAAGTATTACTACTAGTACTGGCGTCTATGAAGTTTTGAATATAACGAGCATTTTTGGAAGTGACAGCGAGTTTTTGCTTGACATAGCAAAAGTGACAAGCGAAGCTGTTCAACATCCCAAAAGTGGCAACAATGATTCGAAAGAAATCACAAAAAATACTGATGAGGAATGGCTAGCCAGAATTCAAATAGGGAAAGAGGGTTGAGTGAAGCCACCAAACACTTGCTGCATGATGCAATGGGGGAGAAGAGTGGTGACTGGAGTGCAGTCACCTAACAACCTGATCATTGGGATGCCACTGCATATTTTGGATTTAAGTTGAATGATCCTTGCAGATGATGATGTGAACATGATAGAAATGAATCGATTCCAATGCAAAGACCGCAGAGAGAGTGCAAAACACCAACCTGAGCATGAAGCTGTGTTGTATGAAATTAACTTTTAGGATCATGGGGACCTGTAGTTTCAATGAAGGAAACAAAGAAAATGGAATGTCGCTTACCTCATGGTGGGGAAGAAAAAGAAATGGCGACAAATGATTTCATTTATAGAAAGATGTTATGTCAAACTGGGCAAAAGATGAATCATGGAAAGGAAGGAAAACTATAAAACTTGACCAAAAATAGGAGTTAGCGATTTTGTTTGTTTTGTACGAGAAAGATTGCAAGAGAGGAAGAAGGAGATTTGAGAGTAAGGAAGGAAGAGAGAAATCCTGGGAAAAGGTTTTTTTTTTTTTTTTTTTTTTTTTTTTTTTAAAATAGCTTTTTAAACTACAAGAGCAAAGATTGGACTGATAATCCAAAAGACATATCATAAGGTTCTTTTGGGTGAGTAAAGATTGGACTGATAATCCAAAAGACATATCATAAGGTTCTTTTGGGTGAGCAATGATTGGACTGATAATCTGAAAGATATTTTATCAGAGGGTTCCTTCTGGAGAGCGAAAATTGTCCTAATAATCCTAAAGACATTTTATCATAAGGTTCTTTTGGGTGAGCAATGATTGGACTGATAATCCGAAAGATATTTTATCAGAAGGTTCCTTCTGGAGAGCGAAAATTGTGCTAATAATCCTAAAGACATTTTATCATGAGAGGGTTCTTTTGGGTGAGCAATGATTGGACTGATAAAGATATTTTTCAGAAGGTTCCTTCTGGAGAGCGAAAATTGTGCTAATAATCCTAAAGACATTTTATCATAAGGTTCTTTTGGGTGAGCAATATTGGACTGATAATCTGAAAGATATTTTATCAGAAGGTTTTCTGGAGAGGTGTGCTAATAATCCTAAAAGACATTTTATCATAAAGGTTCTTTTGGGTGAGCAATGATTGGACTGATAATCTGAAAGATATTTTATCAGAAGGTTAAAATCTAATAATCCAAAAGACATTTTATCATAAGGTTCTTTTGGGTGAGCAAAATTGGACTGATAATCCGAAAGATATTTTATCAGAAGGTTCCTTCTGGAAAAAATTGTCCTAATAATCATTTTATCAAGGTTCTTTTGGGTGAGCAATGATTGGACTGATAATCTGAAGATATTTTATCAGAAGAGTGAAAATTGTCCTAATAATCCAGACATTTTATCAAGGTTCTTTTGGGTTTGGACTGATAATCTGAAAGATATTTTATCAGCAAGTTCTTTCTGGAGAGCGAAAATTTAACTGAGAATCCCAAATGCTGTAAGGTTCATATTGCAAAGCAAATGTTTGATCAACAACCAAATGCATTCTATCAGAGGGCAGTCTCTGCAAAGACTACAAAGCAAAACTAATTGCAACCAGCATCAATACTAGAAATGTTTTTTGCTTAATTTTAATTTTTTTGTGCAATGAAACTTGTTATCATTTTCCTGAAATGTTTCTTTCTATTTTACAGGATAAAGAAAGCAAAATTGCTTTTCTCCAAAAGGCACTCGACATTGTGTGTAAGTATTCATCAATATTTCAGTCTATTCAGCTGAATTTTGCTGATCTAAAGTGCAACTGACTATCCAATGATAAATCCTGCATGAAACCCTGCTGACCATTTCTGACTATTCAGTACCTTTTTCGATAAATTGTACAGCCTATTTTTGTCTAAGTTGCGTTTTTACTTTTCTTAAGAAAAACATGCAGAATCATGTTACTTATTTGCTTCCATCTTTTTTAATGTTGGAAACAATAAAAAAAATATTACAACTTTCACATTTTGTTTCTTAAATAAAAAGGGCATGTTGGTATGACTGCTGTGACAGTACAATAAAAAACATCTCTCTGAATTAGATGTTAAAACTAAATGCTCCTAATGCCATCTAACAACAAAAAAAGAACTAGCATATTGTACAAAGCAAGATAAATGCTGATTAGGAGAGAGTATTTATCTTTGGACAAAATGATCATTCTGTTTGTTAGATGACACTAGAAGTATTTAATTGTAGCTGATTTCCTTCAAAAAGATCACTTTTGATTGTATTGTGACAGCTGTCATATCAGAGGGTATTTATCTTGTTTTGGACAAAATGTTAATTCCATTTTTATTGTTAGATGGCATTAGGTGTATTTAGCTTAACTATATTTGCAAATGATCTCTCGGCCAAAACTTGAACTTTCCACCAATTTTACTTTCCATGCCAATAAAAATTGCTTGCACATCCTGACTTTATACAGTGCTGTATTATTGCCAGTTTAGGTAGTGTTTATGTTTACATCATACTGAAGGCATCTGTTCTGATTTGATCACTGAAGTTGAGCAGTATTGATCCAGGTTATTACTTAGATAGGTTTTTGGAACATTGGGTTCAGTAAGCTATTGGAGACTAAGCCCTGACAAAAAAAAACAATTTAAAATGTGGTTAGAATTTAAAAGAGGCAGGTGTGTACAGTGACAAATTAGCATCTTACATCTGCTTGGAGGAGGGAATGTCACTGTTGATGGCAAGGAGATACCGTTTCTAAAAATGAAACACTGGGACCTTTAGAGCAAGAGTTGCGACCGCTAATTGTACAAAGTCTCTTGGATGGTTTTCTATTGAGAGAGAGAGGAAAGAAGAAACATTAGGATTATGATCTCTAACCCTGCAACCTCGTTTGTTAACAGATGGTTCAAGGCAGTGATGCAGTATTCCTGTTCTGAGTTACTGAGATAAAAGTAATTACACTTCACCTTTCAAATGCTTTCAATAGATTTTCTTTTCCCATTCCTGTTGTTTCCCATTTGATCAAATCCACAAGTTGTGTCTGCAAAGTATCCAGCCATTTAAGGTTAACAAAAAAAAAAAAAAAAAAAAAAAAAAAAAAATATATAATAGACTCTTTGAAGTATTCATCCCCAAAAACTTCACATTTTTTATAGCATCTCTTTCACTTTTCAAAACCGTTTACAAAATCATCTTTTGGAATCATTTGTTGGTTGCTTAGTTACATTCTCCTTAATCAGTGCTACTGAAATACACAGTCCACACAGGGGAAAACTTTTTTTTTTTTTTTTTTAAATAATTTTTGTACATTCAGTCAGTTATGTGCCATGTGTGATACACGTTTAGGTGATCATGTATCTATTGATACATGACTGACAAGGCAGATTTTTTTCCCGCAATAGGTTGCCATTTCTTTCTGCAGTAGACCAGTTGCCATCCAAGGCTATGGAACCTGGTCTGTCCTGCTATTTATCCATAGCTGGGGAGAGAGAAGAGGATTCATACCTTTCCCAAGGGTATTAGCACATAAGTGAATGTAATGGATTTGACTGGAATTTGAACTTGGCTCTCTGATTCTTCAATCTGAGCTGCTATCCATTAATTTAGCATTCTTTAAACTAGTGGTTCTCAACCAGGGTCCATATGGACTCTCGCAGTCCATATAACATTACTGGTGTCCACACAGAATAATAGCAAATTGGGGGTTCACAGTAATATTTTAATGATCCATAGAACAATTTCACTTTGGAACAGTTGTTAAACTGAGAATTAGAATTTAGTTTAAAATAAAGGATATGCATTTACTATTTCTATAATACAATTCCTAAACTTATCTCTTAGCAAAAAATAAAATAGGAGTAAAAGTGCTTCATGGGTAAAAAGAAATTTTAAACCTTCCTTTAGCCTCAATACTTGTCAGAATTGAAAAAAATACTGATTTTTTTTTTATTAATTTTTTTTTTTTTTTTTTTTTTTTTTTTTTATTTAATTTTTTTTAATTAATTTTTGTTTTTTATCATTTTAGAATTGTGGGTGGGGTGGTCTTCTTCATAATATTGATTTAGTGATCCCTGACTTTTACAAAGTTATCTTGATGTAGTTTTTTTTTTATTTACAAAGCTGTGCCTTGTAAATGAACTTACATCATTGATATTTGCATATTTTTTAATACTTTTAAGTTACATAAATTTTTGTTCTTTAATGAAGTGGAATCTTTTTTGTAAAAAATGGAAAAAGAAAAAAGTTTCACTTGAAAAACAATTACTTGTTTGCAAAAGGTATATATCCATTTGTTCTCTAATTAAAAATGTATATATCTGTTTCTTCTCTAATGACAAAAATCCTTTTGTAAAAAAAAAAAAAAAAAGAAAGAAAAAGTTTGTTTCAAAAAACAATTGCTATTGCTTGTTTTAAATATTTATCCATTTTATTTTTTAAAATATTTTAATATGTATCTTGTTTTTAATTAAATCTTTTTGTAAAATTAAAAAGTCTGCTTTTGTATGGAATTATCAGTAATGTAAGTGTAGTTTCACATTTGGCATTTATAAATAAACACGAAGTTCTGATAACTCTGTAAAATGCCAGGGATTAAGTTTTACACTGTATTGATATTATGAACAGGACCCTGACAAGGAATTCTGGCTTAAGGAAGATCTTACAAGTACTAAATTACAAAATTATCTCCCCTGAAGATTTCCTTATTTATTTTTTTTTATTTATTCATTTTTTTTTGAGTGACTGAGTCTATTCAATTGGTGCCCATTAATGTTATTTGAAATCTCCAGTTCAAAAAAGATTTATAATTTTAGGAAGAACCAAATGTTGCAGGGAGCTAACTCTGAACTGGAAGTGCTGACAGATCAGGTGCATTGTCATGGCAGTGGTCACACATTCACTCAATAGCTGCTCTCTGTGTAACATCATAGGAGTGTATTCAAACATGCTTATTAATTGCCAGGTTTTATAAAGGGCAGTAAAACCTTCTTTCCAGGCAGACGTATTCTTTAAGACTGTTAAATTCAGCAGGAGGAATTTAGAATAAATAACTAACTTTCAGATGAGATTCAAACTCCTCCATCTCATTGAGGAATCAGGTTTTAGTTCAAGAACTTCATCCATAAATGCTCTCACATTGTTTTTGAGTTGGCATATAGATATTTTTATGACAATGGGACTTATTTCAAAGTGATAACATCATTTTGATTTTCTACATTTTAGTTTTAGTTTAATAGTCAATGAATTTAATGGTGAAAAATTGTTGCATTAAAAAGGTGGAATGTCAGGTGAAAGGAAAAAAAATTCTGTAAAATTAAGAGAAGATTCAAACAGTCTCACTTTGTTTGTCATTTCTTTTTCATTTAAATATTTTGAGAAAACTTATGTGGAAAGATTATTAATCATAGAAATGTTATTTCTTATGTAATTATGTGTTTCTGCTTCAGCCTTAGTTGCTGGTAGACAATTACCTATGAAACCATCTAAGGTAGTTGCTGGCCATGAACCAGAGAAAACCAATGAGTTCCTTCAAGTCTTAGCTGAAGCTATCAATAAGCAGGTAAGACGATTATTTCTAATAAATATTTTATCCATCTCTTTCAGAGTAAAAACTATTGTGCTTAGGCAATGAAGAATTTAGAAAAGAAATCTGATGACTCATCTACAAAGTGAGTCATCAAAATATAGTTGCAAAATAATTCATATTAGATAAATATGTTGGTATTTGCTACTGAAATAGCTTTTTTTTTTTTTTTTTTTTTTTTTTTAAATAACTGTTCACCCAATACAAGACCCACCCAAGGAAGAGGATTACTAAATAAAGTTGTTGTACGTATATAAGAGGTGGAAATAAGTGTAGATTCTGAGGATATGTAGGATAGATAATAGTTAATTATACACTTGAACTTAAGATTAGGGATTGGGAAGACATCTTCCTGGGAGTCTGTTTCACAAAGTAGCAATTCTTGGGAAGAAGCTGCCTGGGTGAGGTGTCCTACTTACTGATGGATTACAAAGGATGATTTAACCCTTTGTGGCAGGTTCCTAGATGCGAGGATCTGAACTGGTGGAACTAAGGAGTGTAGCTCGTCTGAAAATTTACCATATAAATAGTGACTGGCCTGTAACATTGACATTTGTGGAATAGAGGCTGTAGGGTTGAAAATAATTCATCACTCACAAGGCTGCATAAATGATTTCTGAACTCTATCAAGCCTGGAAAGTGAAGATTGGATAGCACCAGCCCAGATGTGGTAGTAATATTCCATTTTTGGTCTGATCCGACTCTTGGAAAAAGATGCAGCATTTGGTAATTTCTGGTGTGGCACAAAGTCATTTATCAATTTAGGTTAGTATTTCTTTCAGTTTTATTTTTTTTTTTATACAAAGGTTGTAATTCTAAAAATGTCAAATGGCCTAATTGGTGAGGTGCTGTCTGTGAAAAACAGGCTTTCAAGCATTAAAGATATAGGTTTGATTCTTACAAGATGCTTTATTTCCAATGCTTGCTGCTGATTTAGTGGTTATGGCATTACGGTTGGAACAAAGAGAACCGAAATAAGGTGGAAGAAAGTTAAGAGTAATAATAGTAGGTTTTTTGTTGTTGTCCGTGCTAGTCTCGGAGGATCAACAAAATTTCTTGGGGATGCAAAAGGAAAATATTTTTCTTTCCGCTGCAGTGCATCCTCAATTTTTCTGGATGTGAAATGAAGAGAGAAATTGAAATTATCCCAACATTTTTCAATTAGCCGAACTAAACCCACTCTCGTGTTTCATCTTGGACAAGTGTTTTCAGAACTTAAAAGACCGTACTTTTATTGAGCAATTTGCAGCATTAAACATCTCTTGTAAATGAAGCAGACATAAATGATTGGTTCAATGCAGACAGCCCTTGGCTTGTGTTGTTCTTATAACTGTGCTGGAAAATGTTGACAAGGAGGATGGTGATGATAACGATTTTGCCCGTGCACAACAGCCCCAGTGCCTGATTTCAAACCCCACAAAGCAATGGTTATATTTGACAAATGTTTAATTTGGGGTTGCACTATCAACTAGTACTTGAAACACCGGTTCTTGTATGATCACTGAAGTTAAGCAACATTGAGCTTGGTCAGTTCTTAGATGGGTGACCACTTGAGAATACCAGGTTCTGTAAGCTTTGATGTGCAAGTGGTGTAATGGATAATAGCTCAGAATTGGAAATTGAAGTGCCAAGTTGCAATTCCACTCAGGTTTTTTCTATTCACTTATGTGCAAATACCCTTGCAGAAAGGGATGAATCCACTTCTACTTCCTCCTGCTATGCTAGAACTTCTATTAGGTTGGTGCAAAAATAATGTCGTTTTTGACCTTATTTTTGCACCAACCTAATATCAGTAAATCATTATTATCTCTAAAATATTCTTACAATCTAAAAATATTTTCTGGCTCTAAATAACCTGCAAAAGTTTGATAAGCTGTAAAAAACTAAATTAATCAATCAGTCTACCCATACAAATATCTGTCCAGATTCATGCAAAAATTGATGAAAATTTTTATTGTTGTGATGCGAGTGGGAGAGGGGGTGATGAATAACCAGCAGAATTTGTAATTTTTAACCTAAAATGTCTTTTGTAAGTTTCAGTCTAGTTTGGTTTGTTTTATGGCATATCAACCTCAATGGGTTATTTAATGCAGACAAGATTTTTATTGCTGGTAATATTTTTTTCTTAAAAAATTTGTTGCTGGTAATAAGTTTTCCTCAGAAAATTTATTGCTGGTATTAAAGCATATATTTACACTTTCATAGTATTTTGACCCCAGTTCGTAGGTGTGTGTGTGGGGGGGTAACCATTTGCCCATAGCTGAGACCCCAACAGGTGCTACCACCCCGGGTCAGGGTAGACCTTGGAGAACCAGCAATCAAGAGGCGGCTCCAAGCTTTTGGTTTGACACAGTTTATCGTCTCGCTCAGGATGCAGATGTAGTTTATCATTATACCAGGACAGATTTCAATTTATAATTTGTATTTTGAAAAATGGAAAAAAGAAAAGGATGATCAATTTTTTATAAGTTAATAACAAGCATTCCAAACTGAACATATGTAATGCATAATGGGATAACTATATATAAATTTTTATATATCAAGAACAGTTTTGGAGATGTATGACAAAGTGGGAAAAGTTTTTGTGTGACATGTTTCGTCTCTTGACTAGGTTTGTAGTCAAATCAACAGTCTGGGTTTGTGGCTGCATCAATGTAAACAAGCCTGATCCAATGAAGTCCTAAACTATTTCCACTTTGTCATACATCTTCCCCACCACCAAAGATAAGGCATATTGTAAATGTATTCTAAATGATTTTACTACAGAAATACATTGAAACTCAGAAAAAAAAAGTATTGTTTGTGGTCAGAATTTAAGACAAGTAGTATTCACAGAAGAAGGACTTCCATAAAATGGAGAAAGCTACCTTCATTTGTGCTAGCAATGTGAATTTGCAAACATAATTTTTGGTTCCTATCTAATATAAATCTGCTGATAAATCATAATAGCAAACCTCGGTATCAGTGTTGCTTTTTAATCAAGTTCACAACAGGCCTACAGTGTTAAATTTTTGTTGTAAATGTAATTAAGCTAGCACTACTGATATTTGAACCTGAACCACTATTTCTATATCAAGAATGACTCTTAGTGGTTCAGTTATTCTCTTGATTGATTATAAAAAGAAAAAAATATTAACATGATAAATTTAACATCTGAGATGAAATATTGTAACTATTTATATTGTTTGGACTGTTGTCTTCATCTTTATTGTCATATTCATGATGTTTTAACTGTTGTACACTCTGGCCTTCCTCAAGTGATAGACATTGGAATTCCAAACCAAACTCTTTATTTCATCAACTGGGGTAGACTGTTCTAGTTCCGCATGCCTGAGATATCTAGAAAAGGCATGGCATGTGGAACGAGAACAGTCTACTCCAGTGGACAAAATAAAGAATTTAGCTTGGAATTCCAATGTGTAAATAGTGATAATTTACTTCCTAATTTTTCAGCAAAACACGTTTTCAAATCCAGCAACTGTTCTTACACTTCCCAGTATTGATGAGGATGGGGTTCTTCCTTCCTAACATTTTGGCTGAAGTAGTGTTGAATATCAACATCTTCATTATGTCATTGGTTTTTCTTCAATTTCCATGTGATATCAGTTTTAGCTGTTCTGCTGTTGAACATTCTCAAGTAACATTTTTGTTATTTGGTTCATTGGTTTGTTTGCAATTCTGTAGTACCAATTTATGAAGTTCAAAGAAGGATAGTCCTCACTAAGACCTGCAGGCTTCGTTCGCTCAAAGCCATTTTTTAATTATTGGTCTGAGAAAGCAGTTGAATACAGCTGACAGTTCAGATAGTTCTGAATGAGTTTAGCACCAGACATGACATCGATATGAAAATCTCGATCTGATGAGGCTATTTAAGAGCGTGACTCGAGTTTCAAAGCCAAATGGAACATTGTTTGCAAATATTTCTAGTTAGTTTTACTTTTTGAAGAAAGAAAAGTTTTTCTTTATTTCACTGCATTATAATTTACACCACATTGTGACATAAAAAAAAAACAAAAAACAAATAATAGCATTTACAAACATCTTCAGACATGCAAAAAGAACTGAATATTTTTGTAACAATTTTATTTTTGCTTAATATTTAATTCCATCATTTTTGAGCATTTGTGCTCTGTGTAATTTCATAATGCAATTTTTATTTTGTTGCTGCTTTTTTTTGATACTATGTTGAGATTTTTTCTTCCTTGTCAAAAATGAAATATATCTATATTCATATAATTGTCATGATAAAATGACTGATATGAAATATATATATATATATATATATATATATATATATATATATATATATATATATATATAATTGTGTATTGGCAATCTTTGCAGACAACATTAATTTTCTATAAATTCACAATTATTCATTTTAAACCAGTCAGTTTAATTATGTTGTTGTAAGTTGAATGAGAAACTTCCGTCTTCACAGAGAAACCCATAAATATTATGCAGCTGTTATCATATTTTAGCTAAGCATCATAAAGATATATATTAACTAGAAATAGAGTTTAAGCTATTTAGAACATCTGTTGAGTAGTGTACAAGATTTATATATTGGGTTTGTGAAAAGTTTCCAAATGCCCTTTTTTTTTTTTTTTTTTTCCTATTTTTCTTCATTCTTCTAGATTTTTTTTCTTAGACTAAAGATTGAATACATTTTTTTTTTGTTTTAAATAAAATTGCAGCAAACATTTCACACATCTAGCACATTCTATTATCATCTCCTTAATTTTCAGTCAAACACTGAGAATTGAAATTTTTACCTTCAGTGTAAAAGTAATTTTCCTATTCTTTTGATAAACGATATGTATGCATGCATATATATATATATATATATATATATATATATATATATATATATATATATATATATATATAAAATCGAATATTATATACATATTATGTCTATTTATTTTTATACTGATCCTTTCCAGTTCTCTAATGAGTTTCAGTTGATGTTCACATAAAATTCATCAAGGAAGGCACCGTAGTTTTTTCCTACTCAAATACTTTCGATCTCCTCCATGATCATCCTCAGGGCTAAATTACAAAGACAAACTTATTGAAACTGTGATAAAATCTGCATTTTGTTGTGATGGCGATTTAAAAAAAAAAAACACATTAACGTGTTTTATTGTACTGTATAGTGCAGCTGGGATCAAATAAGGTGACGAATACTTATATATATATAAAAAAAAATATATAAATATCTTTATTGTCCAAGTTGTAGCAATTGGGTAGTGTGAGGGAGAATCACAGAAGTTAAGATTGCACACACAGGAATTGAGGGGGACAAATCTTTGGTGAAACTCTCGCCAGCCTCTCTTCAGGCCAAGAATTGGACTGGTTTTATAACATTTAGACACCAACATGACTTCATGTGGCTACGCCTTCTTACGGTATGTCTCCTATGCAACTTCTTGTGGACATGCCTCTTCCGGCCATGTGCCCATGCAACTTCATGTGGCCACACCTCTTCCAGCCCATTCTGCTTTTTGCTCACTCTCTCATGTAGTAAGAAGTGAGGTCAAAGGTCTTCCTCAACCGATATTCAACAATTTTAATTATTATGAAATTTTAAATTTATCTGTTGTCACTATGGAGTTTTTTTGCTAAACAAGCGTCCCAATATAATTATTCAATGTAACATGTTTGAATGAAGGTATGCTGCCTAAATGCACATATATGACAGACACACGTGGTGGACTCTCTCATCATGGTCTATAAATGAGGGCTCAGTAAAATAAAGAGGTGCTTAGCTTCTATGGGCACGCATGTCTCCTGAGACCTGCAGGTGTTTTGCAAACATTTAGACAGATTGAACATGTGGTCGAGGATCAATTGTCATATGTTTCTGCAAGACCTGGTTTATATATTTATATATATATATTTATATATATATATATATATATATATATATATATATATATATATATATATATATATAATTTTTTTTCTTTTTGTTTGGAAGTAAAGTCTGATGATCCGCAGTCCTTTTAAAAGGGCTGTGGTGAAATAATTTATTACATGGAACCTTAAAGTGGTCCGTTTTTATTTAAATTGTTTGCTCTGGATTTACATTGAGTTCTCTGGATTTTATCCTCCTTAGGTTTACCCATACGGATTACCTAGTTTTTCATAAACTATATATATATTTTTGAATTTTTTGTTTATTATTTTCATGGTGTAGTATATTGGTGTTGTCAACTAGTATTTTCCTGTATTGTGAAGGTGGATGTTGTGCAATAGAACTCTCAAATTCTTGAGGTTGTTTTGCAAAAATTCCATAACTACAATGGATAAATTTTAAATTTTCGAATAACTATAACAGATTTCATTCACGCATCTTTTTAAAATCACCATTACAATGGAATGCAGATGTTATCGCAGTTCAAATATGTTTGTCATTGTAATTTATCCCTGAAAATGATCTTTGAAAAGATCAAAAGTACTTGGGTTAAAAAACTACAGTACCTTCCTTGATGAATTTCATCTTAATCTCAAGAAACTGATTAGACAACTTGAAAGGATCTGTCTAAAAATAACTATACACAATATGCATATATTATTCAATGAAACATATATTAGAAAGGGAGAGAAAGAATAATATATTTGTCTTTTTTAATAGTTGTTCCTTAAAAAAGAATTTATCATAATGAAATTGAAGTGTTGAGCATACAAAAGTAACCGGCGTTTTTTGTTACTTGTTTTTCTCTCTTGTGTTGTTTTAGGTAGACAACGATTCATATGTTGAGCGTGTTCTCAAATCGAGGGATACGACCAAGAGTCATGAACCAAACAGAGAAAAGGACAAACCCAGAGACAAAAGTTTAAGCAGACGATCAGAAAAAGAAGTAAATCAATTTCTTTTTTGTTTTTTTTCTGTCACTTGACAATCTTGAAGCTGAAAAATATTGGTGTTAAGATTGGGGTTTACTGTATTTTCGTGTGTATAGTACAAGAAGTTTTGAATGAAAATTCAAGGACAAAAATGGAGGGTTCATATTATACACAAGTACTGTTTGCATGCAATTATGCAATCATTAAATCAAAAGAATATAAAATAATTATAATTTCAATTAAAAAAGAATTGATATTTTCTTTTCATCAAAGAATCTACTATGAGCATTTATTGCTGCATAACAAATTCTTAGCATCCTTTCTAGTAATTTGTAAAAGTCTGTTGGCGGAATTGATTCCCTAGTAGTATGTAAATGTGTAAACAGCTCTTGCTTATACTTAGGCAGTTCATTTTAGAACTTTACAATAAGTTTCATCCCAGACTTGTTCAGTTGGTCAAAGATCTGGAGGCTGAGGGGGGCCAAGTCATGATATGAAAAATTCCCTTCTCTTTCTTTGAATTTACATTATTTGTACACAGTTTTGAGCAGTGTTTTGGATCATTATCTTGTTGCAAAACAAAAATTTGTCCAATAATGCAGCAGCCAGAATGAATTGTATGCCTCTGCAGTATTGAATGATAGCCTTCCTTTCACATAATGCCTTTAATCTGAACAAAGTCTTCAGCAATCTCACCTCCAAAAAATCTCCAAACCATTACAGCACCACCCCCACCATGCTTAACAGTTGGAACAATGCAATTTTCACTCCTTCATTCATTTGGAAAGAGTTCATCTGACAAACACTCTTTGTTTACTTCCAAAAAGCTCAAATTTAGACTCATCAGTAACTTTTGACAATCTTCTAAAGTCCAGTCTTTTTGTTGCTGTGCCTGTTTTTGTCTTTTCAACTTATTTTTCTTTTTTAATAACTGATACACATCCTTTAAGCCCGGCAGAAAGAAGTCTTCTCTTAACTTGTACATCATTTAAGCCCGACAAAAAGAAGTCTCCTCTTAACTGATATGCATCCTTTAAGACCGACAGAAAGAAGTCTTCTCTTAATGGATTCACTTCCTTTAAGCCCTGACAGAAAGAAGTCTTCTCTTAACTGATACGCATCCTTTAAGCCCTGACAGAAAGAAGTCTTCTCTTAACTGATACGCATCCTTTAAGCCCTGAGTCTTCTCTTAACAGATATGCATGTTTTTAAGCCCTGACAGAAAGAAGTCTTCTCTTAACTGATATGCATCCTTTTAAGCCCTGACAGAAAGAAGTCTTTCTTAACTGATATGCATCCTTTAAGCCCTGACAGAAAGAAGTCTTCTCTTAACTGATATGCATCCTTTAAGCCCTGACAGAAAGAAGTCTTCTCTTAACTGATATGCATCCTTTAAGCCCTGACAGAAAGAAGTCTTCTCTTAACTGATATGCATCCTTTAAGCCCTGACAGAAAGAATCTTAACTGATTGCATCCTTTAAGCCCTAAGTCTTCCTTAACTGATATGACAGAAAGAAGTCTTCTCTTAACTGATATGCATCCTTTAAGCCCTGACAGAAAGAAGTCTTCTCTTAACTGATATCCTTTAAGCATCCTTTAAGCCCTGACAGAAAGAAGTCTTCTCTTAACTGATATGATCCTTTAAGCCCTGACAGAAAGAAGTCTTCTCTTAACTGAAGCATCCTTTAAGCCCTGACAGAAAGAAGTCTTCTCTTAACTGATACGCATCCTTTAAGCCCTGACAGAAAGAAGTCTTCTCTTAACTGATGATCCTTTAAGCCCTGACAGAAAGAAGTCTTCTCTTCTGATATGCATCCTTTAAGCCCTGACAGAAAGAAGTCTTCTCTTAACTGATATGCATCCTTTAAGCCCTGACAGAAAAAAGTCTTCTCTTAACTGATATGCATCCTTTAAGCCCTGACAGAAAGAAGTCTTCTCTTAACTGATACGCATCCTTTAAGCCCAACAGAAAGAAGTCTTCTCTTAACTGATACTTTTCAACTTATTTTTCTTTTTAATAGACATTTCTTAACTGATTCACATCATTTAAGCCCAATAGAAAGAAGTCTCCTTTTGGCAGTCATAACAGATATTGGATGTTGATGTGTAGAATTAAATTCAGCTAGTTAGTTTGAGAGCTGTTTTTCTTCTGTTCCTTTTGCTAGACACAATCAAGTGTTTTAAACTCTGAAATAGCTGTTACTCTGGGTCCCCTAGATCTTTTTTCTGCTAACATTTGCATCAGTTTATGCATGTTGCTGTAGGCAATAGTTTTCTAGCAAACTGCCATTTCGAATACCCTTCTATAGAAAGAATTTTCACTTTGGCCTTTTTTTCAATACTAATCTGTTTAGTTCTTGGCATTTTAATGGTTTCTGAAAATGAATTTCAATCACACATTAATCTAGATGGAATTAAGCCTCTATCAAGCAGTGGAGTTTAAATATTTCTAAATTTCTGCTCTACAGTTCAGAAAAGGTATCAGGTTGGAACAAAATTTCCAAAGTTCATGCAAATAAATTTATAATGTGTGTAGAAATATTTGTTTGAATTTTGTATAAGGGTTTGCATATATGCACAATAGGTGAATTTATTTATTCAAATATGCAAAATTAGCCTTTATTATGAACTTAGAGAAACAATTCAAGGTGGTCCAAAACTTTTGATTCATAGTGTGTGTGTATATATATGGGGGGGGGGGTGAGCTTTTGAAATTGAAAAGAATTCTTAAGCAAGGTAATATAGACTCTATCCCAGAAGATATTCAGTCTGAGCTTGTATGTAATATCTGCAATAAGGTTGTTCAATCTTGTGCTGGATTTGTTAGTCATCTAAGACTGCATGAAAATCGGCAGTCAAATGCCAATTATGTGAATGTCCTTCCTAACAGACCTGCAGGGTAATTACATTAGATTTGTGATAGAATTAGCCGGTGTGAAATGGTACTTGAGTGTATGAGAACACACTCACTTTCAAGACATTTGCATGTCACATATGCAAAAAGGTATGGAGCAGTGAGGCAGCTTTGTGGTATCATTTGCAAGCTATGGACGCTCAGCTCAAGATTGATCTTCTGTAAAGAATATCATATATATTTATATGCAGTGTGCAATGGGTAAATTGTTGCCATTTTATATTTTTAATTTGTGCATATCTGTTTTGGTATTTTGTAAGCTCCTCAGTATAGTAGGGTCAGTTGGGCACCATCTGTCTGAACTATATATATATATATATATATATATATATATATATATATATATATATATATATAAATGTAAATTTGATTGTTTTGTGCATTTAGTGTACCATGTCAACAAAAATTTGTTAACCATTAATATCATTTGTTGCTTATTTTCATATTATTTTATGTTATCTCAACATTAATTCTTGACATTTTTTAAAATAATTATTCTAATAATTTTGACCAAGACATTTAACATTTGTTGCATTACAACAGGTTTCCTTTCTCTCTTCAAATGTGTAATATTATTTTGCAAACAGTTTAGTCTTTAGAAAGTAAAAATATTATTGAGATATAATTATTTGTTTTTTTTTTCCTTCTTTGCAGAGATCTCGAGAGAAAGGGGAGCAAAAGGAAAGTTCCCGATCTCAGCAGGACAAGCATAAAGAAAAGAATGAAAACGAGAATAAAACTCAAGAGAAAGACCGGCACAAGGGTAAAGAGGACGAGAAAGAGCGACGTCGCAGCAGGGCAGAAGAGAAGGCAAAGGAGAGGGAGCAGCAACACCGAGGCAGGAATGAGGAAAAAGAAGGGAAAGACGAGGAGAAGGAAAAAGACAGAGAGAAGGAGCGAGAGAAAGATAGAGAAAAAGGGCGAAGTGAAGAGAAGTCAAAGGAGAAACGATCGAGTGAGAGGGAAAGATCCTCCAGGAAGGTAGGTGGCCATTTTGATTTGGGAGCCAAGGCATGCAAATCTGGCATGTCGATTGGTGACAAAAGGGGACAAATGCTAGTATCTGTCTATATTTCTGAGATGAGGTATTATGTACATTATTTACATTATCCGGACTATTGTCCTCATCTTTGTTGCCATATTTATTACAACGTTTTGGCTGTTGTACGCTCTGGCCTTCTTCAGGTGGTTGGAATGTCGAACTGAACCCCTTATTTCACTCATTGGGGTAGACTGTTCTAGTTCCATGTTTAATGGATATCAGTTATCTCCTGTTAATTCCCCTCTCCAAGTTCTCCATTGCCTTAACCGGGTATTGAACCCACACTCTTTGGCTCCTGTTACTGGATCTAACTAACTAGAGGAATTAACAGGAGATAACTGATAACCAACATCCATTAAACATGGCACGTGGAACTAGAATGGTCTACCCCAGTGAGCAAAATAAAGGGTTCAGTTTGGCATTTCAACCACCTGAAGAAGGCCGGAGCGTACAACAGGCAAAACCTAATAAATATGGCAACAAAGATGAGGACAATAGTCCGAATAATGTAAATAAGGGACAAATGCTAGTTCACAAATGTATTATCTTTTCATGATGAATTTTTGACTTGTCTTTTTCACCTTATACTGCTTACTTAAGGGTTGTAGAATGTAAAAATGATTTGAGTTGTGATAAAAATCAACTATAATAAGATGAAAAAGAAATGAACTAAAATTAATGATGGCAATGCTTCCTTTAAGAAATTCTTATTCAAAATGCAGATAACTACTATGCTACTCATGCATCACAGTCTTTGTTTAATGTGCTTTATGAGGAAAGAGGGCTTGGAAAATTTGATACTCAAGAAGGACAAAGGAAGACAATATGTAAACTAATGAGCTTGAGTAAATGGATGCCAGGAAAAAGGTCTGCGAGAGAAAAAAGACAAAATTTATTAAACACTACAAAGGAAATTGTAGAGAGCCATGAACTTCTACCACCTGAAGGAACACAGCACAGAGAAGAAATTGTCTATATTTCTGAGCTGAGGTATTATGTACATTATTTACATTACTCAGACTATTGTCCTCATCTTTGTCGCCATATTTATCACAACGTTTCGGCCGTTGTACACTCAAGTATAGTGTGCGTTTTTATGATCAGTTCCTTATGTTACAATATTGGTGGGGGGAGTGGCACTATATGCAGTTTATTTCTTTGAAGAGGATTAAAAATCATGCATTTTTTTTGGTGACTGGTTGTAGGCTACACAGGTAAATTGCTTTCTGGAGGGGTTAAAATTCATGCCTCAAAAATCAGGGGTTGCACTATACATGAAGTCAACATCTAGGTGAGTATGTACAGTAGGTGGATTTGGGAGTAACGCAAAGAATGTTGAGGAGAAATTTTCTCATATTTCTTGTGTATATTTCAACTTTTCTTTTTTGTGGTGAGTATGGAGTAAGTAGGGTATCATAATCATTTGAACATGTCTAGATAGTATGTGTGCATGGTGTGGTGGGGGGGTACATATTCTAAATGATTCTAAATTCTAAATATTCTTTTCTAAATAATTCTAGGTTCTAAGTACTTTTTCATCTTTTTATCCTTACCTTTGATATCACTTTATATGTAACCATTCGAGTGAATGAAAGTTTCGATGTATTAGTTTAATAAATCCCGTTTGCAATATAATAGATTTTATCATTAGTTTGATATGTTGGAGTAATTTCTTCCTACTATTTGTTGTGATTTTTTTTTTCTTGTTTTCTGTCTTTTTAGTCCAGAAAAGATGACACCAAAGAAAATGAAAAGCCTCCAATTGAGAAGAAAGAGTCAGATGAAAAAATTGAGGTTTATTATCTTTTTTTTTTTTTTAACTTATTTCAAAAATATTTTCTTTTATTTTTGATAAATTAAAAACAGAAAAATTTAAATCATCCAGACTTCCATTCTGATGAAAAATTAAACACACACCAACAACCACCCACCCACCCATATATACACACACACACACACACACACACACACATACACACATATATATAATGAAATGGACTAAGTCTAACAATTATTTTAATATATTTTTTTTTGTTTATACGTTATTTTTATAGATACAAATAAGTGCTCTGTTTATAATAAACAGTATTAACTACAATTATCGGTCTGAATATCCAAGAAATGTCAAAGAAAATACGTCTCCTATGACAGGAATTAGACCTATATCCTATATGGAACTGTCATGTAGCCTGACGTGTTATATCATTTAACTACAGACAAAGCATCTGGTTAGCAAGTCGGCTATATGATGGTTCTGTGTAGGATACAGTTTTGATTCCTGTTGGAGAACAAATATTTTCTTTCAGATTTCTCAGGCATTCAGGCCAGCTAATGTTGGTAACACTGTTTATTATAAACAGAGCATTTACTTAAATATTCGTATCTATCAAAATAACGTATAAATGAAAAAAAAAATTAAAATACAGACACAACACACACACACACACACACACACACACGTGTGTGTGTGTGTGTGTTAATTTATATTTGAGCAGCAACCTTTCTTTTAAACATCTTTTGTTAATATGACAGCCAAGGAAAATTTTATTAATTTTTTTATTTATTATTTATTTAGTTAGTTAAATTTCCATATGGTGGAAGTGAAGGAATACAAAAACTGTCTTTACTGTCCCTTGTTCCAAGTGCTTTCAGCTACTTCCTTAGCCATTTTCAAGGGGATTTTGTTTTGGTTTTGTTAATTTCTTTTCAGGTTTTGACTGTGTGATATGTATTATTTGTGTAGATTTGGATTTGCAGCATTTTGGATTGGATCTGGAGTGTTAATTCTGAGCCTTTGCATGTTGGGCATGGCTAGGATTTGAGTGGGAGTCTTTCTATTTTTGAACTAAATAAATTTTAAAACTAAAAAAAAAATTAATAAAATTTTCCTTGTCCGTCATATTTTACAAAAGGGATGTATATACAGAATTGGATAGATAAATTGTCTAAATTATGCAAAAATGAAAATAACACTGACATCTTATATTAAAACATATTTATAAAAATTACACAAAAATGTCGGAATGCTAAAGAGTAAATTTGTTCGATAACATTGGCTTCTACCATGGCCTCCAGATGACAGAATCTCTTGCATCTGTTCTGGACAGTCTCCTTGTTTAAGTTGGTGAATGCTGCCATAATCCTTGCTTTAGCTCATCTTTGGTGTAACAAGTATTTTTTTGGGTCTCTCATTCACAAATAATAATCCAGAGGATTGCAGTCTGGGGAGTTTGGTGGGGAGATGTAAGGGGTGATGTAGTCACAAAAAATGTCTGACAGCCATGAATGGGTTTTCCTGCTTGTGTGATATGAACCAGAGCCCTGTGGCCAGGCATAGGGTCTTCGAGGAGCCACCCTCTTGACCCAGGGCAGTACGACCTCCTCAAGGCACTTGATGTAGGCCTCAATGTTGAGTCTGAGGCTCTGTGGGAAGATGAATGGAGGCATAATGTCACCTTCACTAGTGATCGCTCCAAACACCATGATGTTGACTGAATATATTATCCAACTCTTTCCGAATCCTCTGGACTCTCCTCAGATTGACACCCAAACATGGTGAAATGTTTGTATTGGAGCTCCTGGCACAAACTCCAAGCAGTACAGCATACAGTTTATAAATTTCTGGCAGAGTGAATTGCATCATCATGCTCTTTTTCTAGCAGATGGTGCCCAACTGACCCTATTTTGAATCATCAGCTGTCTTGTCATCATTGTTGTTGTAAAAATGACATGTATTAACATTTTTATCAGAGATGCAATCTCCCAAAGGACATTTAAATTGATATACAATGTTAGTCTTTTGTAAGATGCTAGTTGACCGAGAATAATTGTTTTGGATGACTCGGTTGATCTTATTAAATTTAGTATATAATTAATTTTATTTTATTTTTGCTTGGATCAGTGGGGAAGATATTAGTGTTTATGAGTCTTTTTAGAATTTTTTTCCTCCTGCTTATAGTTAGAATGCATTTGATTACTGTTGGGGGCGCACCCACCTTCTAACTAGTAATGGACTGGTCCCTCTTATATAAGTCAGCTCTGGGGAGCGAGTGGGGGAGAGTCAGAGTCAGAGTCAGCAGTCCAGATAAGCTTACCGGTACATACCGTTGGACTATAGACTTTGGATATTGTTTTTAACCAACCTTCGTTCTACTAATCACTCTATTGTTAATTGCTTTCATGAATATACCAGTATTTTCCTCTACAACTGTGTTTGTCTTGATTCTTACACCAACACGCGGGGAACTCACAACATCTCAACAATTACAATATAGTATTTTGATATATGTTTAGTGTTATTTGATGATGCATTATTTTAATTTTTATTTATGTTTATATGCACAATAGCTCGGCAAGACGGCTCACGTTTCACTTGAATAAGCATAGTTCAAACTCATAATATCTAAAGGAACACTCATGTTCACATTCACGGTTTACACAGATATTAATTGAAAATGCATCAGTACTTCATCAAAATAATAATAAGCAAAAGTCAACTATGAGTATAGCAACAAAGTTCTTAAATGTTTGTGGCAGTAAAGTTGTATATAGAAATGCTACATTAAAATATTATAATTAAAAAAAATCTTTTTATTTTTTTTTAAATTACAGAAGTTACCTCCCTTGCATTACTGAAAATTTTGAAATTGAAACACTATAAATGAACAATGAAATAAATATTTTGAATTTACAGAGCTACTGTATATAAATCCACAGATATTTTAACCCAATGAAGATGGTCTCGGATGAGACTGAAAGTACTTGAGGAAAATAAAAATTACCTGAAAGAAAATTTTGGTATTTTTCTTGATCAATTTTCTATAGCCACCAAGAAATTAATTTGTGGACTTGAAAGGATTAAAAGTAAAATAAATAGACATAATATATCTAAATTATATAACGAAACCTGCTCGAATGAAAATATTCTGCCGAAATATACACAAGTTTGAAAACCTTAAAAATAAATATCAGTTTTTCTGTTCTGGTAAAAGATTTGTAAAATGTCATATTTTTATTGGTAGTTGCAGTAATTTTTTTTTTTTTTTTTTTTGAATAAGGACAGTAAAAAGATCTTATCTGTTCAATGAATAAATATAAATACTTGCATTTTATTCAGTGTCAATTTTTCACTGTGTCCTATAAACAAAGTAAATTTTGTATGAGCAATTTACTGAATATTAAAGCAAAATAATAAAAAAAAATAAGGAGGGGCACTGATGTCAACAGTCTGATGCTTAAACACATCAAATTTAATGGCCTGAAGATTGCATTCAAGCATAAAATCAGACTGTTGTCACTCAGTGTTTGACATCTGTGTTCACACTTCTTATATTTACACACATACTCTCTCCTGGATATTAATCACATTTACCCTATAAATATAGCATACCTTAAAACTATTTTTTTATATATATATATATATATATATATATATATATAAACTTTTCACCATTCCTTTTGTGTGTGCATATGTGTGTGCACACACACACATTTATTTATATATATATATATATATATATATATATATATATATTGCAGTAAGGTTTATTCTGTATAAGGTCCAGGGGCCACTTGAGATAGAGGGTTACATTTAGTAGTTTATATGGGCAGCTGAGGAAGATAGCAGTTAACTCTAGACCTGAACAGGTTAAAATTGTAGTAATCAAAGAAACATCCTCTAGGAAGTCTGTTCCACAGGGCAGTGGTTTGTGGGAAGAAACTGTTTGAGTGGAATTTACTTCTTGCTGAATGAATATGGAGGGAATGTTTTTTTCCCTACTATGGTATGTTCTTGCTGTGAAGGTTTGCCTCAGTCAGACCAGGGTATGTAGTTTGTCTGAGCACTTTCCAGGTTAGTAGCAATAGAGCAGTGAGAGACTCCTCACATCCTGCTAGTGAGAGAGAGGTTGGAGTGGGGGAAAATAATTTTTTTCCAGCAAGGATTTGGAGACGCTTTTGAACTCTCTCAAGACTGGAAATAAGATCTGGGCAGTTCCCGCCCAAATATGCTGATAATACGCCATTTTTGGCCTGATCTGGCACTTATTACAGGCAGAGGATAGCATGAGGAGTTGGGTACTTACTGGCATGATACAGGGAGATGATCATTTTACCTGCATCTTTAGTGATAAATAAAGCATTTGTAAATTTAGTCAGTGTGGACATAGAAATCAACACTGCATGGTAACTCTGTTTCATACCTCTGGTAATCATCAGACAATGTGTCACCACTTGTATGGGCTGAATATACAGGCCACTGAGAGTCTATGAAGTAGGGGACAGGAGAAACTGGCCTCTCCTAGGTTTTTTGTTTAGGGCTAATATATTAAATTACAATCTTGAACTTTGTATATTCTTCGGTATACTCTCACAACTACTGCCTGATAAAAACCTAGAACAATTGTCATTTCAGATGTAGAGTACCCTATCTTTGTGGTCACAATGATTGTTTTGTAATCAAGTAGTGCTAAACCTGCCTCCATCCATGGCTGCCACAGATACACTACCTCTTTACCTATTATGGCATATTTTGCTGATTGAATTTCTACAAATGGTGAAGGATGAAACCATCCAGTGTAGTGCTATCTCTAACTTTTATGTCACTTCAGTGTCTCTCCCAGGGGAGAAGGGGTGTTTCAATTTTTCATCTTTATTACCAAACCGTCATTCAGCTTCCTCACATTCTTCTGTCTGATAGAGCTCTGATTATTCATTTTCTTGTGCTGCTCCTTGATTGGTTGAATTTATAGTAGGTACCTCTACATATTTGTGATACCCAAGGTTTAAAATGAATTATTAAAAATTAAAAAAAGAAATTTTTTAGTTTAATATTTCCAATAAACAGAATACTGTGCTGTATTTTTGTGGCGGACATGAGACAGAACCTGGGACGAGCACAACTGGTCGCAACTTGCCTTGTCCCCGCCAAAAAGGGCCCGTATTTGCTTAGCATGTAAAGCTACTGCAGTTGAAATGAGGGAGAGAGAAAAAAAAAAGGACTTACGGCTCTGCGTAATCCATCCTCGGCCAGATAACGTAAAAAGAATGAGGGGGGACTGGCAAATTTTATCCAATAACGATGCAATGCATTATGGGACATGGACGCAATGAATTATGGGATCACAGGAAGACTTAAAGGGATTATGGGTACATGAACAACTATAAAAACAACTTCTTTTTTCCAAGTGGGGGAGTTCTTTGAGGGACGTTCACAGTTGACGGCTAGAACGGGCAGTTAGTGTGATTTGGAGACAGAACTCAAGAAGGAACGACTCAAGTTTGAAATACCAGCTGAGAGAGCTTGAATTTACTCGCTGGTTACTGTTTTCTTCATTCGCCTCAATTTTAAAACTAATTTAAACTGATTGAAAAGAGTTTTTGTTTTGAAATTTCTAAAATTTTTGAATTTTGCGTCATTTTTATTAAATTGTTATAAAAATATAAATCTCTTTAATAAAAAATCTCCCCAAAATGAAATATACTTTTCTGAAACTTTATTTGAGGAATATTAGCTGATTTAAAGCTCAATCAATCTAATTTGAAACAAATATTACTTACTTTCAGTTTAAAATATCGCAGAAATGCATTTTTTTTTTTTTAATATGGCAGTAGATGTTTGTTTATGTTAACAGCTTTTTAATAGCTCAGTGATAGGGTTTTATCTAATTTTGTTTTATGCCAGCTTTACCTGTAAAAAAATAATTGAAGAATATAACTTGAGCACTTTTTAAGTACTTAGTAATCTTAAAGATTTAAGAAAATATTCTCCGTAATCTAATGTTTTATTGAACTTTAGAGAATTTTGGTTTTAAATTTACTATAGTTATTGCTCTTACTTTTTGATAATTTTGTGTATGGGTGATTATATTTACAAAAATCAGCACATTTATACACATACAAAAACAATTCCAAATTCTTTTGAAAATGTTTGGGGTCATCATATTGTAATAAGCTTTATGATATATGATTAGTAAATATAGTTTTACTTTATAACAGTATTTCCTAACAGTTACACTATTGAAACTGAATTTTAAAAGGTTTAAAACTTTATAAATTATTCTAATTAAAATTGTAAAAAAATGAAAACAAATCTTGTAAAAATTCATTTTTCATCAAAATTTTTTTTTTTCTTAAGACAACATTGTCCTTAATATATATTTATAAAAGCAATTAAAAGATTTCTTATTTAATTAATGTCTTACTTTTATTGCGTTTTCATTTTACCATTCAGAGCAGATTTTTCAGTAAGGCAGGGACCGATTTTACAAAAAAAATTGATTATTTAAATTCTGCAAAGAGTTCTGCTTTTAACTAATATCATCACTAAAAATTATCTCATTGAATTTCCCCAGTTTTCATAAAATTAAGCAAGTTGGGTGAAACAAATGTAAAAAAAATTATTTTTACCAAGATTTTCTAAGAAAAAAAAAAAATTTCAAAATCAATTTTATTCATTTGTGAATAACTCCTGAAAGTTTCATTAAAACCCAACAAATTTGATTTTTGAAAGAATTTCCAAATTAATGTGTCTTTCACTGCAAAAGAGAAGCTAATATTTGCTATGCTAATTTATAGACCATTCGCTGATACAAAAATACAAAATTTTTAATCAGAATTTTGAATGTTATAAAAAGGATTGAAAAATTTAATTAAATATTTAAAAAAAATGTTTGATCTTTCATTCTCATAATAGTTTTCATCAAGTTTGGGGCACTTTTTGTATCATTTTTTTTTTTTTTCGGTGAATTTGTGGAGGTACATAATTTATAGTGACTCAGCACAATGACTGACCAATCAGAGCACAGCACAAATCTCTAATGTCCAAACTTTTTGCTCACAGAAGCTTAGTCTAGCTCAAATCCACAGACAGTGCACCCAGTACAGTTCAAACTCCTTACAGTGTAATAATAATTTATTATAGTAACTCATTGATCATTATCTTGTGATAAGGCCATTTTGTTAAGTATATACATTTTTAAAATACTATTAAAAAAGACAAAAACAAAGAATTTAAATGGATGGTTGGAATCTACTTGAATTCAATATGTTGAATTATATAATCGATCTGTGAATTGTTCTCTATCTCAATTTTGGTTATATTCCTTAAAGTTTCGCATTATCTCTTTTTTTCATGCAGGAACCTACTCCTCGAAGGTTACAAAGGCCAACATCAGCTAAAGGTTCTCGACAAAAGAGGGAAGGTAAACAAAGTCTTTTGCTGCTAAATGTTCAGTTGAATCTGCATGTTTTTCCTTTTTTTTGTTACTGATTTGTGTTACCTTCAGGCCATCAATGCATATATATATATATATATATATATATATATATATATATATATATACACACATATATATATATATATATATATATATATATATATATATATATATATATATATATTTTTGTCGATCCTAATATTTTGCTTTAGGTTGACATATGACATATGTGTGAACAACAAATGCCGTTATAACAAGCAACACATTATTTCTCCACTGAGCGACTTTAGAATGTATGGTTGTTTCAAAAGTAATATCACATTTGTTGTATCCTTAAAGAGGTTACAAGCAGACAAAGGTAGTACTAGAGTGAAGGAACAGCAACACGCGCGTAGATGAAAGAAAGAAAGAGAGGTTTATTGTAAAAGAGAATACACTATTGAAAGACAGAGAATCGGGTAGCAGGCTAGTAATTCCTGTAGGAAGCCCCAGGTATATCCTGTGCTCAACAGCTACTGATTTAGTCAGTCCACATAGGGGATAGGGAGTGTGGGACATTCCATTACAACACCACCCCCTGAACTAATTTTCCCATGAAATTTTGCTCAATACCTTTTCTTTTTGGGGGTTACGACACAATTGTTTAGCTTTTTCCCTCTTCCTAGTACTTTTCCATTTCACCAACATTTTTGTTGCAGGATTAGACACTTGTACAAACGTAACAAAAGTGAAATTTATTTGTCAAAATCATAATCACCCTTGTTAGCAACAATGTGGAATTAGTAAATACTAAACAATTCAAATACCTTGGTGTATGGATCAGTTATAACAAATTTACTAAATTAGAAAAGAAAATGGAACATAGAATAGGCTGTGTTAAAAGTACTTTGGCTCAATATTGCAAATTTCTACAAAACCTAAAGTGGTCTTCATCCTCAGTAACTCCTTGCCTCTTGGTGGCTTTATCACCTTTCTTTTGAAATGATTAAAAAAAAAAATTCTTAAATGACATTGTCACATTTAGACTTTCATGTTAAGCATGATGCCAAACTCATTTGGAGATATCTAAGCTGTCAGCTGAATACATCTGCTTTCTTAGCTCAATGGTTAAAAACAGCTTGGAGTGTATGAAGCCAGTAGGTCTTAGTGAGGACCAAACATTTGAAGCAAGTGGACTGGTGCTACAGAATCACAAATAACAAAATGTATCAAATAAGAGTAACCACATCACTTGAGGACTTCCAACAGCAGCAACAGCTAAAATGGACAAAAGATTAAGTAAAAAAAAAAAACTATCAATACTGGAAAGAGCAATAACAGTTACTGAGCTTGAGAAATCTATTTTTCTGAAAAAATTGTTTTAAGAGAAAGATTTTATAAATTTCATCCAAAAATAGAACTGTCATCTCGGTCAATGAATGTCAAATATTTTCTTATAAGGAAACAGCTAATATTACTATTACGATATGTTGAAATTATAGTAGAAAGTATCTGGGCTTCTAGATGAAAAGCAAATTTCAGTGTTTACTCCATTCCTGTTAAAGTCTTGGTGAGCAGTCATTGGAATGTGGTAAGTTTTGTCTTTTGTGAGCTTTTAGAATGAAGTAAGAATGTTAGTGAATTGAAGCAAATGAAAGAATTATGTGAAAAATGTCATGATCTGGACGGCATTACGTTTGTCATTCAGAGTGATTATGAGAATCCATCATCAGCAAAACTTCAGAGAACGTCGGATTCCTTGGGAGGATCTACCTAAGGATCTCTATTCACCAAACGGAACAACTTGAAATTTTCATTTAATTGGATCACTGGAGCTTTCTCCAAGTGGCACAGTCTTTAAAAGTAGGCAAGATATGAATTCGGCATTGGCAGAATTCTTTTCATGTAGTTTTGCAGATTATTTCGACAAGGAATCAAAGTAGGAGGCTTTTGACATTTCTAATTACAAGAAATGCTTTTAACTTTTGACCATCTTTCAATGGTTCTTATTCTGTCTCTACAAATGCACCATTATTCCTCTGCATAATCTAATGCAGTTGTTCTCAGCAAAGGAAGAACTGACACTCCTCCATCTAACAGATGGAATTTTAGGCATTCAGTGGAGACTGAGACAACATATTGATAGATTCAAATGATTAAAATATTGATCTTTCTGTCACTGGTCCCATTACCTGACATGATTGTGAGAATGCTGTTGTATATCTTGGGTAGGAATAACCTGGTGGAGCCAGTCCCTCTCCAGACATGATGAATGCTGAATTCCTCACATACAGTGGCTTATATTGGTCATGTACATTCATTTGTTATGTATATTATTGTACATTCATATGGCCATTATAGCTTACTTTATCAACTTCTGGCACCTCCATCATGAAATTCATATGCTGTGTTAACATTACCATATGACAGGTATTATTGAGTTACATGATACCAGTAGGAGAAGAAAACAGGTCAGGACCAATGATATTGCCAGTTCTTCTTTGGATTTTATCAAGAATCTCTAAAGATATAGCAGGAGCACCAGACCAGACGTGGCAGCAATATTTAAAACAATGATAAATGGTAGCTGTATGAACATGTAAGATGGATTCTGGAGAGAAAAGTTATGTAGCATGATAGTGAACCAACTTTCTTAGCAGCAGGCCTAGCAATTGATTCAATATAATCTTTCTACTTCATATCAGCAGAGAATGTTACCCTGAGAAGGCACAATGAGTCACTCTATTGGAGGTTAGCATCAGCCATGCTGTTGGAAGACTGAAAGGAGCCTCTCAGATGATTAATAGAGAGAAATTTCATTTTGGAGACATTAAAATTAACAAGCAATTCCTTGCCCCAAATGTAACTTTCCTCTGCCTTTTCAAAATACTTTCATGTTAATTGTTCTGATGAACTTTTTAATATGATACCTAGACTTTATGAATTTAAGTGCAGTTTTAGATTAGCAACAAGGTCTCATCAATTTACAGTCAAATTGACTAGATGCAACCATAAATTTTATGCTAACAGTTTCTTATCTTGCACTTCTCACTTGTGGAACTCTCTTCTGGCTCCCTGCTTTCCAGCCAACTTTGATCTTCAACAATTTAAATGCAATGTCAATCGTTACCAAACTGACTTTTTGATTACTCTTTTATTATTCTCGCTCCTGAATAATTTTTCTATTTTTTATTATTCTTTCATACTCAGTAACCACTTATGTCTTAGTGGCTTTACTACCTTGCTTGGGGTGAAATGATTAAAAAAAATAATCTGCTGCTTGCTTACTGCAGAAAAAGGAATGTCTGAATACTTTTGTTTCTTATGAATAAACCCCTTAAAATTCTACATTGCATCTTATAACAATTTTAGAATCGGGGAATGACATTCTGAAATAATCATGTAAGGGAGCGGGTGCGTAAGTGAAAAGAAACTGAAAGCCTCTGGTCTAAAAAACATTCTGGATAGAGAACCCTTTGAAGGCAACAGCTGCGACGAGGTAATCAAACTTTGCTTTTCACAGGGCTGTTGTGGCAATTAAGCTCTCACACTTTGTACATAAGCAGTTGTCTTCCAAATGCAAAATGAATCAAATCCTTGTTGCTTCTTTTTTATGCGATCATATAACCAAAAAGCAGTTGAAATCTTCAGGCCAAAATGTGTGATGTATAATCAAAACAACTGATTCATTATCAATTTGCAATATGATTGAAAATACATACCCAGATGTCCTCAGGACACATGGCACAGTGGATAAAGGCGTTGGTTAGATCCAGTGACAGACCCAAAAGAAGGTGAGTTCAATTCCTGTTAAGGCAGTGGAGAACAGAGGGAAAATTAAATTATAGACTCTATATTTTTCTTCATAAGTTAAATTGTATTACTGAAAATGTTGCGTCTGTAAATTATTTGGATAAACTTTTATGAAATCTGTTTTTTTTTTTTTTTTTTAATATTTTGTGCCAAATGAACATGACAAATCTACTTTTCATGTCAGCAATAAATATTTTTCTGGATAAAGATCTGACACTAACAAGACATGAAAGAGCAACTATTGGAGTTTATTAGTTTTTACTTTTTTCTTCTTTTAACCTTATTTTTGTTGATGTTTTTATCCCATGTGTAGATCATTTTTATAATCCGTGGCTATCAAATAAGTCACATGGACTTGTTGACACATCTTTATTTCTTGGCTAGACTGCTTACTCTGGGTTTGTCAAATGTCAAAACAATCTGATTATTGCATTGAAAAAGTAATCGAAATAAAATGTACAACAGGGATTAAGAAATCTGAACATGTCTTTTAAAGAGAAAAGCAGTTGGAAATGTCATGTCAAAAATTGAGAATGCTATTCAAAGAGTAGAATGTTTAGAGGAAACATTTTGAGATTTTTTGTAGATACTTGCAAATAAATATTCTCTTGGCATCAATAATCTTAGGAATTATATTACTTAGTCTTAAAGGCTTTTTTGGTTTTACCTCATAATTCTTTTTTTTTTTTTTTTTTTTTGGTATTTTCTTTTAGAGGAACGATTTTCAGTATTATGTTAGTACTAGTTTTAGGAAATCCAATTCTCATCCTTTTTTTTTTTAATACAAACCTTCTGAGTCAATGCACTCTTCATTATTACTATTATTCTATTACTAGTTTTGTTCCATCTTATTATTGTTTTCTATCACGACACTGTCTCTACATACACTTTATTACTAGTTTTATTTTGTTTTATTGTTGCTTTTTATTGCAACACATTGTGTTGATACTCTCTAAGTTATTACTAATATTTTATTAGTAGTTTTACTCTATCTTATTGCCGCTTTTTATTCCAATACTTGGTGTCTACTCTTTGACTGGAAGATCAAAAAATTATAAATAGAGAATTAGTTTCTGATATGACTTGAACTTTCATCTCATTCTCCTAGAGTTCCGCTTTCATGAATGTTGCTTGTTGCCTGAACTCTTTCAATCACAAATGTCTCAAAGTCCTTTATTATCATTTTTGTGCTA